ACACACACACACACACACACACACACACACACATACACATATGCATGCATGCCAACACGAAAGCATCCTATATCTTTATAATTTGCTTCATCATCTCTTCAACCTGTCCTTTCTTCCCCAGGAGAAAGAGATCTATGAGAATGATAAGAGGGAGCTTAGGAGTAATCTAAAAGTGATAGGCGTGGGTACTCCCTCTGGTGTTAGATCGTAAAACTTAGAGTTGGAAGAGACTATAGAATTTATCTAGTCCAACCCCATCATTTTACAAATGAGGAAACTGAGGCCTCAGAGGGGAAGTGACTTGCCTAAGGTCACAAATGCCATCAGTAGCAAAGCCAGGATTCCAACCCAGGTTTCTTTATTCCATATCCAGCATTCTTTCCCCTGTACCATGCTGAAACTTCAATTGTGGGTTTTCTTATTCTCTATGGTATTTAAAAGAAGAATTCAGGAAGATGGGAAAGGTAGTATGTAACAGAGTTGGCCAAGGAGAATTTCAGAGAAAAAAAAAAGGAAAACCATCTGAGTTTCTCTTTCCTTTAAATTAATGGGAAGTAATGATAGGAGGACCAGTAATGGGGACTTATTAAATATTTTATCTTAATTTATCTTCCTATTTTCTAAGTGTTTATACTGGTTAAAAAAATTCATGTATTCATGGTGACATTTTACACCTTAGTTACTGATAAAGTAACTTCATTCCTTGCCTTCTTTCTAACCAGAATTAGATCCCAGTGAATTCAATTCAACAAATATTTATTAAGCACTACTGGGTGCAAGGCACAATATACTGGGTCCTGGGGATGCAAAGATAAAAATGAAATTTCTGTTAGTCTGTTTTCAAGGGATTTACATTTTTCCTGGAGCCAAGCTTTTTGACTTCCCTTTATTGAGTAATGAAAATTTTTTTTTATTCTTGTTACTTTGCAGTTTCAAATGAAATCAGTGATATATGCTTCTGTGAAATATACATTTAGCTAGTAGCCTTAAAACAATGGAGGTGAACTGTAACGACAGAGACTTTAATTTCTGATTGTTGCTTTTTAAACTTCTTGTAAAAGTACCAGAAAATGTCTTTTTAAAAACACCCAAGCAAGTAGCATAAACCCTGCTTAAATCCTGAATAACTCTGATTTAATTCTACAGGTATGTAACAGAATTTGTAAACCTAGGCAATTTTTCAGCTCTTCGAACTTTCAGAGTCTTGAGAGCTTTGAAAACTATTTCTGTAATTCCAGGTAAGAAGTAATTAGTGTAAAGCATAAGGCCCCTTGTACCTATAGTTATTTCTTTGTATCCTATTATTGTTTGTGTGTGAACTCCCCTATACAGATATGTGACAGAGTTTGTGGACCTGGGCAATGTCTCAGCATTGAGAACATTCAGAGTTCTCCGAGCATTGAAAACAATTTCAGTCATTCCAGGTGAGAGAGAGGTTAAACACCGAGGTTGATTATCTCATCATAGATTTTCAACGTCAGCCTTGTCACTTGCCACTACTCAATGTTACAAGAAACCAGGAATCATAAGAGAGTGTGTTTGACTGAACTATGATTCTTGGGGTTTTTTGACATAAGCTTTTTGGCTTTCATTCTGAAATCAGCCTTGGAGTTTAATGAATCCTTGCATGAGATATCAAAACATGTAGTCATTGTAGTTTGCATCTTATGATGTAAAAAAAGCTTCTCCTCTATTACAGTCAATACGAAGGGTTGCTTATCATGGTAACCTACCAATATGTTGTAACTTCCCATTTATTGAAGACATTGATGACTAAGAACTATAATCAGTTGAAAAAATATGATTTTCTTAACAAAAGATTAAGTTCATAAACTAATAAAGAATAGCATGAGCCTGCATGGTGAATTTGTTCTAACAAATGTCTTTCATTCTCCAAACCACCTCAAGTTTTATAGCAAAATCCTTTTAATTTCCTGGTCATTTGCCATTTTTCTGTAACTGGGATTTGTTATAAAACTGATGCCAACATGAGTTTGGAGCTAGTAGCATTATAAAAGAGGAGCACCATAAGAAGATTTGTCTTGACATGGAGCTCACAAAGAACTTGAACTCCGTTATCACTTGCTCGATTTAGATGGAATGTGGATCGTTCATTTCCATTCATTTCAAGTGACCATCAAGTTTCATAAGTCCACATCCATAAGCATCTTCTCCTCTCCATAGTGTTGTTCTTTCATGAACATTCCAACCATTTACTTAGGTTTCTGCATGGACTATCTGTATCTTAGGGAAAAAATGTACATCTTTTCAGATCCATTGGTCCTTCATAATGATATCCTTTTCTATTTCCAGGCTTGAAGACTATTGTGGGAGCTCTGATTCAGTCAGTGAAGAAGCTTTCTGATGTCATGATCCTGACTGTGTTTTGTTTGAGCGTATTTGCTCTCATTGGACTACAGTTGTTTATGGGCAACCTGAGGAATAAATGTGTACAATGGCCTCCCACTAATTCCTCTTATGAGGAACACACTATTGAAAAGAATGTTACTAAGGATTACAATGGCACCCTTGTGAATGAAACCATCTTTGAGTTTGACTGGAAATCTTACATTGAAGATGAAAGTAAGAATTACTACTGTGATTGTTTTATACAATAGATAGATGGACAGATAGATAGATTATGTTAAATTGTTGGTCTGCTTACCATTCAGACTTAAAAAGTAAAAGGGGGGATAAAATAACAGGGTGTATTGTTTTAAAGATTAATGAATCTATTTTAAAAGATTTATGAAGAATACTCTTAATTTGTTTTTTTTTCTTCCTTTGGATTTTAAATAACATGTTCAGAATCTCTAATTATATTTTTTGATCTCTAAAGTTTACATGAACATTTAAAATTTCGTATATAAAGACTGGACCTGGGATTTTATCAGTATAGGAAACCTCTGGCTGAGGGAATCTCCTCTCCCGTTCAGGTTGTCACCTTTTCTTCAACTTAGTGTCTTTGAGTGTTGCCTAGATCACTGACTTAAAGTGACCCATAGTCACACAGACAGGTGTCAGAAATAGGAATTGAATCCAGGTCTTTTTTGAGTTGGTGCCGGCTCTCTGTCCACTATCCTATTCTGCCTCTCCTTTATATGTAAAACCATCCCTTTTCTGGCTTCTATATGTTGCTTGTGCCATTACATTGGAGAATGATGAAGCAAGCTAGGTATGAATTTAAATTCTAGTAATGATTTACTTATTTCCAGTTTGATTACATCATGGTGTGAGAAATACAATATCGCAGTACGGATATGGAGGGAAAAGATGTTGTCTCTAACTGTAAAATCAAAGCCAGGAAGAAAATCATTTTGGATTTTGTGACTGTATCCTGTAGATGGAAAAGTAATGTTTGTTTTTTAATCTATAAAGAAATGGGTACATTCTATACTTGGAGTGGTAGATTGTTTCAACAATATTTCAACACCAACTATTTAAGAGGGATAATACGTGGGCAATGATTCAGCAAAGGAGACTGAGAAGGAGCAGCAAAATATGAGAAGAACCAGGACAGAGTAGTGTCAGTTAGACAGGCAAGAGAGAATATCATGAGAGATAGAGTTATCAGCATTGCTGAGAAGTCAAGACTGAAAAACACTAAGAAAAGAAAATGCATTGACTTAGAGTGAGCAGTTTCAGTTGCACGATAAGGTTGGAAGTCAGACTAGAAGGGATTGAGAAGTGAGTACAAGAAGAAGAAATGGAAACAATACCAGTTTCATTTTAGAGAAAAAAATCAGAGATAGCATTTCATTTTAATAAAGACTGTGTGAGGATGACTACTCTTATAAAACACAGTGATGGATTTGGGGTTATTGATTTTCTCTTCTTTTCCCACATCCTTCCATTTGACTCTCTGTACTAATAAACAAGAATGTAAAGCCATGAGGTAATAATAACAAGGCATCCATTTATCAGTTATAGAAGTAAGATTTACTGCCAGAGCCTTAGTTTTTTCTTCTGAAAAATAGGAGTCGTTGTATTTGTAATACTATTTTACAGTGTTGCCATATAGAAAATTTATTCAACAGGTTTATAAAGTGCCACATAAATTTGAGCTGCTATTATACGACTTCTTTGAGTTTTGGCAATTCACAATGTAGCAGAAGGTTGGCATAGTTTGTAGAATGGTAGGATTGGAGTAAGAAAGACCTAACATTAGACCCTACCTCTAATGCTATCTGTGTGACCCTGAGCAGGTCACTTAACCTCTTTCAGGCAAATCCCTAGGATTCATTTGCAAGATCATAATAGAGAGAGTTCCCATTCCCAGATTCTTTATCCATCAGGTCTTGCCTAGACTCTGCCTACCAATGAAATATCAGCATTAAAACTAAAGGGCTGGGGCAGCTAGATGGCACATTGTATAGAGCACTGGCCATGGAGTCAGGAGGACCTGAGTTCAAATCCGGCCTCAGACACATAACACTCACTAGTTATGTGACTCTGGGCAAGTCACTTAACCCCAATTGCCTCACTGAAAAAAAAGGAAAAAAACAAAAGAAAAAAAAAACCACCTAAAGGGCTGTAAATAAGGAGCATCATATTTATCGATGAATTGTAGTTTGCATTCATATGTGTTTACCTTTGCAACATATTGTTTGAAATTGATCCAACAAACAAATAAGTGGTATTTGTTTTTACATCTCTGATCATCATTTTTTTCAACCAGTCTCCTCTTACATGTACAGATTTAATTCATATTGATGAATAAGAAATCTTGCTTTAACTTCTCAGATATCCAATATCATGACCATCATGGCTAGTTAGTATGAGTTGTCAGAAAACATTTATTCCATGGCAAGTAGGAAAAATGCTCTTTATTAATAAACCACATCTTCTTATGACAACACCATAAATTCAAGAAGATTTGTCAGCTCTGTGCGTGTACCATGAAGTTCCCTCAAAAAAAAAATACAAGAGAAAATTATCAAAATGATTTTTCACAGTGATTCCTCAAAGAAGCATGAATAAATAAAAATAAATTAGATTGTGTTTACTGTTTAAGAAGATGTAATTGCAGTTATTTTTATGAAGTTATCCACTCTTCTACTGAAAGAATTGTATCTTCTTAGAAGGGGCTAGGTGGTACAGTGAATACAGTGCAGGGCTTGGAGTCAGGAAGACCCAACTTCAGATACAGCTTCAGACATTTTACTAGTGGTATGAACCCGAGCAAGGCAATTAATCTCTACCTCAGTTTCCTCAACTGCACAATGGGGATAATAATAGCACCTACCTCCCAGGGTTTTTGTGAGAATCAAATGAGATAATCATTGTAAAGTGCTAATTACTTGGCAATTAATAAGCACTATGTAACTGTTAGCTATTATTATTAATATTGTTAGCTGCCTTTACATTTTTATTACAACATTTGCTCCAAAGCAAGAATATCATTATGCTGGCAAAATAACCAAAGACAAAAATTAAAATCTTACATCTGTAGCTGCTTAAAACTCAGACTTATAAGAGTTTATTGATAAAACAAACCATCACATAGTAAGTACTATATAAATGTTGGATATTATTAACTATTGTTATCATGTAGCGTAAGTTGAAGTATAGTTAAAATGATGGACTGAGAGAAAAACATATACACTCAGTTGGATATAGAAATCTATCTTACCTTATAAGGAAGTAAAAAGGGATGGGGATAATAGAAGGGGGAGGGGGTGGTGATAAGAAGTAAGACACTTGTGAGGAGGGAAAGGGTGATGAGGTGAGAGAGGGGAATAAACAAGAAAAAAATAGCATGGAGGGAAATACACATATCATAAGTATAAATGTGAATGAGATGAACTCAACCATAAAACAGAAGCAGATAGAATGGATTAAAAATCAGAATCTTACAATATGTTGCTTACAAGAAACACATTTGAAGCAGAGAGATACACACATAGTGAAGGTAAGGGGCTGGAGCCATATCTATTATACTTCAGCTGAAGCAAAGAAAGCAGGGGTAGCAATCATGATCTCAGACAAAGCAAAAGCAAAAATGGATATAATTAAAAGAGATAAAGAAGGAAACCGTATCTTGCTGAAAGGTACCATAGACAATGAAGTAATATCAATACTAAACGTATGCACCAATATATGCATCAAAATTTTGAAGAAGAAGTTGAATGAGTTACAGGAGGAAATAGATAATAAAACTATATGAGGGACCTCAACTTTCTCCTCTCAGAATTAGATAAATCTAATCAAAAAATAAACAAGAAAGAAGTTAAAATGAATAAAATTCTGGAAAAGTTAGATATGATAGACCTCTGCAAAAAACTGAATGGGAATAGAAAGGAATATACCTTTTTCTCAGCAGTACATGGCACCTACACAAAAATTGATCATGTATTAGGACATAAAAATCTCACAACCAAATGCAAAAAACAAAAATAGTAAACGCATTCTTTTCATAATATAGTCATGTATTATGGTGATCATAATGCAATAAAAATTATATTCAATAATAGACAATGGAAAGAGAGATTTAAAATTAATCAGAAATTAAATAATCTAATCCTAAAAAACAAGTGGGTAAAAGAACAAATTATAGAAACAATCAATAATTTCATTAAAGAAAATGACAGTGAGACAACATAACAAAATTTATGGAATGCAGCCAAAGCAGTACTTAAGAGAAAAATTATATCTCTAATTGCTTATATCAGTAGAATAGAGAAAAAGCAGATCAATGAATTGGGCATGCAAATAAAAAGAAAACTAGAAAAATAACAAATTAAAAATCTCCAATTAAACATGAAATTGGAAATCCTGAAAATCAAAGGTGAGATTAATATAATTGAAAGTAAGAAAACCATTGAACTAATAAATGAAACTAGAAGTTGGTTTTATAGGAAAAAAAATAGTTAAACCGTTGGTTAATTTGGTTTAAAGGAAAGAAGAAAACCAAATTACTAATATCCAAAATGAAAGGGGTGAATTCACCACCAATGAAGAAGAAATTAAGACACTTGTTAGGAGCTATTTGCCCAATTATATGCCAATAAATTTGACAGTCTAAATGAAATGGATATCTATAAAATATAAATTACTCAAATTACTAGGAGAAGAAATAACCCAATCTTAGAACAAGAAATTGAATAAGCCATCAATGAACTTCTTAAGAAAAAATTCTCAGGACCAGATGGATTCACAAATGAATTCTACCAAACATTTAAAGAACAATTAATCTCAATACTCTTTGGGAAAATGGGTGAGGGAGTCATACCAAATTAATTTTTTGACACAAATATGGTGCTGATACCTAAACCAAGAAGAGCCAAAATAGAGAAAGAAAATTATAGACCAACTTCCCTAATGAATATTGATGCATTTTTTTTTATTTTGGGGGTTGGGCAATGGGAGTTAAGTGACTTTCCCAGGGTCACACAGCTAGTGAGTGTTATATGTTTGAGGCCGGATTTGAACTCAGGTCCTCCTGAATCCAGGGCCAGTGCTCTATCCACTGCGCCACCTAGCTGCCCCCAAATATTTTGATTTTATTTTAGGCAATTGCGGTTAAGTGACTTGCCCAGAGTCACACACCTAGTAAGTGTCAAGTGTTTGGTCTGAGGCTGGAT